TGTGGTTCAAAATTTCAGATGCCAGCAAATGCCGAACAATTAAGGCAGGTTGGAAAGTTGGAAACTCTGGCCGTATCGACGTCCAACATCTCCAACTCCATGTGCTTCCCCGCTTTCGAGGCCGTATCGACGCGCGGACGGTGTCCAAAGCCAAGCCCCTTCTCTTCTCAGGTGGACCGAGCCGCTCATCGCTTGGGACCTCATCGGCTGCTTTGGCGCCATGGCGCTTGGAGCAGCGCCACAGACCTGGTGGTACTGTCTCCGGGTGCTGGAGCGGATGCCGCTCGGAGGTCGCCCTGGGCCACGTGGGGGGGGGTGAGACCTGGGCCACGTCTGTTGAGGTTCTTTCCATGGTGCTGAGGCCAAAAACGGCAACAAATATGTATAACATGGTATTACTATATTCACTACTATATATGCAGTTATATTTTAATTAATGTAGTTTACCATGTATTAATTTGTTCTCTTTGTTTTGGAGGGTGTACCTATATATAGGCCTATGTACCATTTTGCAAAGTGTATCCATTGTGCCGCAATGGTGTATTCCCTTTTGAAGAGTCTCCAGGTCTCATCCCTTGTGCTGAGGCCTTTGCTCCGCGTACTGCCTCACCTTCCTGCCTATCGGAGTGCTGCACCTCGGAGGTGAGACGAATGCGGTGCAGCACGAGCTCAGTAGGTGTTCGAATATGAAGAGCACGAGCTCAGTCAAGCATGAACTGAGGCAAAGATGCGACAACATTGACTGTGTTGCAAAGATGTCAGAGAAAGAGCATGATCATGTCATGTTAGAGCCTATATTTGTGTCGCTCTCAAATCTCCAAACCCCTTACCCTTGACCCGAAAACATCCCAAAAACACTGTGCCACCCCGAAATACACTCAATGGGCACCCCATATTGGGATTGTGCTTCATTTGTTTACAATGGTTTCGGAGTAGATGGCACAAAATCGGTGGTTTACAGTGTTTTTCCCCACATAAAAAGACGTTTGTTGGTTTTATGCCATTTACTTTGCACCCGCTATCCCCTGTTCTTTGAGGTTCGCGCTTGTGGCCTTGGACGTGCAGAGGTGTCGCTGTCCCTGGGCCTCTTGGAGGCCCGCGGATTTGGATGCCGGTGGCGAAGAGAAAATGGAGTTGAAATAGAAATGGTCAGAACATGTCAGAAACCAGGTTACAATTGGAATTGGATGTGATGAATTCTAGCTGTAGTCAGAACGTGTTCTCCATCCAAAGCTTTTTTCAGGATTGCGTTTGTTCTCCATGACTTCTTGGTCACGTCCTCCCTGGCTGAGCCAGCTCAACTGATCTCAACTGTTTGGATCCTAAAAATGTTAACCGCTGAAACATGCTGAAACGTACTTTCTGGTGAATTCTAATAATATGTTTGTTCTCTCCCTCCGCCTCGCCTCGCCTCCCCATTCGGCGCAGCCTCACCTTCCAGCCTTTTCGAAGGCGACTAGAGCCGGGGCTGCGACCTCGCCCGAGATGCGCAATGCTGCGGTCTTTGCCTTTGAAGGAGCGCAGGCACCGGTGTATATGTCGGACAGGCCTGTGGCAGACGTGTTGAACACGGAGGACTGATTTCGTCAAACATGTAAGAACAGATTCACCACAAATGGCATGACATGACGATTGGACTTGTTCATCATTATTCATTGCTCTCGGACCGTCCGATGCCGAGTGTTCCAGATGTACACCAGGAATTGGGACTTGACATGACTGGACCCTTTCAACGGAACGGTAGGTACTCGTGCACCGTCTCCTACCACTGGGATAGTCTCCTTGAAGGGTCCAGGTCTTTCGTGGCAGATCCGTCGCGAGGTGCCCTGGCCACGCTTTGGTGCAGCACCCGGTCCTGTCGCTGGGACCACCCTGCTACAGCTGCAGTGACCGTCCGAACAGACTCCGCTTCCGAAGGGCTGGCAGTATTGGAAGGGCTGGCAGCCGCGGATGGCCCCATGGATCCTGGCGCCGCCATTGGAATCGACTGAACCACGACGAGGCCGCGGCTTCGATACGACACTGGTCTTGGGGGGCAAGAACTTAGGAAAACCATTTCTCAAAAAAACTGCTTTGCAAAGGTGTGGTTCCAACGTGATGGTCCTCTCAGAGGACATCAGAAACCATCCTGGAGAAAATTTGCTGGAGGTGTTGCTACAAGTTGCTACTGGTAACAGTACCTTGGAGAACATGACCACTGAAGAAGAGTTCAAGCCATTCATTCCTGCACTTTCAGTGATTTTGGCTGCAGCTTTTACGGCTTTTGAAGGCCTCGGTCCTGCAGCGGCTCCCATCGCCAACTATGTGAGGGATGTTGTTAGTTTTGCTGCAGACAAAAGGAAAAGGGTTAGGTTTGCACTGGATGAATTTCTACGGATCGTGGGCAGAACATCCAAAAAACCTGCAATTGTGGTGGACGAGGCAAACCTTGCACTACCCGGGCTGACAAATGCCCAGGATGGTCAGGAGAGCCGCGAAGTGAAGTCAGCTTTGGCCGCGATGACACAATGGACAAAGCAAGGGATGCTGTCAAGCATAGTCCTCATCTCCTCAGAGTTTGGGTATCCCTTCCGCCTGCAAGCTGCAGGGTTAGACCTCCGGAACATCGGCAACATCATTATCATCGGTGAAGTGCCACAGTCCGACATGAAGAAGATGCTGAAGGATAATTGGGGCATGGATACAGACTTGGCAGAGATGTTCTACAACTACTTCGGCGGCGACATTTACACCACCAAGCAGGCTTTGGAGAGCCTCATGCGGAAGAGGGACAACTTTGACCCCTTTGCAGTTATGCAATGCCCCGGGCTGCCTTCGCGTGTGGAAAATGCAGCGGCCAGGGCTCCCCTCGAGAACATCGCGAAGCAAGGCTTCTCTTTGGTGCAGAATGTGGAGACAGACGGAGGTGCAAAAATGATTGCGGAGAAGAACGTGGGCGGGGTCATCAACAAAAATGCCGTCACATTTGGTTTGCCACCCATCTTCACCGGCACAGACTGGAAATGGGCTGTCATCCCCTCGTCTTATTCCTTGCCAGAATATTCCTTTGCCAGCATCAGGACGGTGTTTCAGAAACAGTTTCTCTTTCGTGTTTGGTTCTGTTTTGCACACGCTGTTCCAAAGAGGAGGTGGGAATAAACTTGTTGAGATTTATATATAAATACATGGACAATCACGAAAAAGCAATACAAGCATCCATACCTCCTCCCTGCAAGGTGGTACTGGGACTGCACCACCAGCTGTTTGGGTGAGACAAATCCGCAAGGACTGCAGAGAAGTGCATTCAATGACTGTGTAAAAACATGTTGTTTCAGCAAAGTCGTTGCTCTGACCAAAGCAGTGCACTGATGACTTTCGGACAGTTCCGTTGAAGATTATTATCGCCGTTCGTTCAGGTTCATGCTCTTTTCCCGCAACATAAAGCGTGATGAAGGGCAAGTCCACTGTGCAAGATAATACACTGTTATGCTACGAACTTGGACGGGTTCAGGACTTTTAGGGAGAAGATTGCAGGTTCGTTCATTCCTCAGGATTCATAAAATATATATTCTAGTAATCTTCCTCAATTTGATAAAGAGGATTTAGACTAAAGACTTTGTATCATTTTCTGCCATGCTCTTGTTCCTTTGCTGTGCCCTTTGGTAAGTAAATGCGAGTAGCACACGGTTGGAAAGGGTTGAGTTTGAATGTCTCGACTGTTGACCTTGCAGGACGACAATGGCGGCTTCGAGTTCATCTGCAACGCCTTCAAAATCACTGGAGCGGTTGGTGACATAGATGATCTGAAGAAGGTGCAGACCTCAAATGGAATTTCTTTCATGTTGTTTTGGAACAGCTTTGAGATGAGCAATGACAAAGATTAAGCAGAGCGACCATCTTTGCAGCACGTGCTGTGAGTTCATCGTTCGCGTTCATGTCCAATAGTGCCTTAGTTGATGTTCAGTAGGGGACAAAGCAGACAGTGAAAAAAAGCCAGAACATGTGTTCTTGAAAGCACAAGTGTATGGGTGGTATTGTCGTTCAGCTCTCAGGCGATCAAGACCGAGAATGCAGCCACAATCAAATGCAACGCCTTCCAAATTAATATTTAGCCAACAGGAGGAGCCGTTGTTTGTGCCACCAACTCGTTTGCTAGTTGCAGTAGCTTCAATGACCTACCAGTTCGTGCTTAGTCAGCTCTTTTTAGTTTGAATGCCTTCTCCGCAGGATGGCAACTGGAGCAAAGAAGACGAAGAAGATTCAATTAAACGCGGTGTCTCCAAGTCCTCCCCTCAGTAAATACATGTTAATACTCTGAATATACTTGTTACAAACGCCTCGTTGAAGTGCGTGGTCAACCAATCATTCCAGGTTGGACTGCTATGGTTACCTCATTCCATAGAGGCTGGCTTGTTTGTGATCAACGCGTGCGCAGTGTGGCACAGCTTTTCTTTCTAAATGCTGCTTCTTGAAACAGTTTTGCTTTGTGAGGCTCTTTCTGACCCGACTGTGAGCATTGGACAGTTTCATTCCTTGTATCAAATTGCGACTTTCTTTTGCTCCGTGCATGTGCGTCCTCTAAACTGGGAAAAGATGAATTGAAGAGGCAACTTGCCACAAACGATCGGTGAGCGGCTGGTACAGAAGCCACAGAGCTGTTCAGCGCGGAGTTTCACCCAAACGTGGAGTGGCAAAAACTCATGGAAGTGGTGATTGGTTTGACGGATGGCTTTGTGCACGCAAGCGCCGTTGTCGTTTTGACTTTTTGCCCGTGTGAAATGACAAGAAGTCGATTCCCAGGCGAACATTTTGCAAGTGAGTGATTCACCGCGATGCTGTGTTAGCAAGTGCTAATATAGAACTCCAATGATGGACTGGCGACCATCGACTGTGTGGCATGAAAAAGGTTGTCATGTATGGCATTAGCCGAATCCAGGGTGAGGTTGCGGGGGTTGTATATAATGACAATGCATGGGTGGAACCTAGTAGGAATTTAGACGTCTGTAGAGATCGATGCGTGCAGCTTTTGGGCTGCAGCTTTCTGACGAAATGCTCATCGCTCGTTGCATGAATCAAGCCACACTGTGGTCGCCTTCTGGCTTGGAGCGGCGCGGATCGTAGTGGGCCATGGCGCGGAGCGTCGTGGGGCGCACTGCTCTGTGACACGGCTGACTGAGATGTGGGCGCGGCTGGTGTGGCCGATGATTTGTAACAAAGCATTCCCAAACGCTCCATGGGACTGGAATATTTAGAGAGCTCAAGACCTAGGTTTTGGTGATGTTTGGGTCACAACTCACCGTAAAACCACAGCGTTTTTGGCTCAAACTTGCACCAAGAAACATCTCCCAAGAGCACCCATTCTGAATATTTACCAATCAGGCGGGTTGCTTTTTTGGGGTCAATGTGGGGGCAATATGGTTGAATAATATATAATATGATTTTACAAACTGTAGATTCCATGCGTGGAGCGCTTCCTAGGCCGGTATAGCTATAGGCATTCCTAGGCCGGACCGGCAATCCTTCGACTCATAACATCTCGCACGAGACGGTTGGCTGGGAGAATGATGAGAATGTACCGTTTTGGGCTTATGCCAACATGGGTGGACCAGTTTGTCCTTGCTGGTGT